ACCAACGAGCTAGTGTTGACGAAGAAGTATCGAGCTATGCGGGTTAGCGGTCCACCGGATGCAGTAATGACGGAGTACAATTGTGCGCTGGGCGAGGAAATGAAGTTCCTGTGCGATGAGATCCATGCACTGGGTTTGAGTGCGACCTCAGTGCAGGTAAGGTTTTTGAAGTATTACAGTGTCGGGGTTGGGTTCATTCGCAGGCGTTGACCACGCGTGTGGTTTATCCAAACTTGAAATTTCGACATGATAGTGGTATGCGGTTTTGTATGCAGGCGCACAACGCACTGGCCATTCCACGCACCCAGGGTGGCTCCTTGGTTCCCAAAGGCACGTTTGCGAAGGCCTTCCCGAGGGAGAAATGGTTTTCGGACGTGGCTGTCATGGATGCCTCATGCAAAGGAGAGTGGTACGCTAAATGCCTGTGCATTTTCACCACAACTGACGCGGAAGGCACTAGGAAGGCGTTTGTGTACATGAGGTATTACGAGGAGGTTGGTCAGTGTCCGCTCACCACGTGCAAGCAGCTCTGCCCCAAGCGTGACGACGGTAGATACGCCGTGGTGGAGGTGGAAAGCATTTTACGAGTGGTGCATGTTTGCCCCTCTTACAGCAACAGCAAGGTGTTGTTGCTGAACAAGTTCCTGTTGTGTGAGTAAGGAGGGTGGCATAGATTCACGTCTACCTTGTTTGTTTGTAGGGGTTTGTTTGGGTTGCTGCTAGGTGGTTTGTTTGTGGATCTTTGCTTGTCTGTCTACGCTCTAACGCTGGTCCGCGTATGTGTACGTAGCTGTTACAACCGTGTGAAATAAAACGAGCCTAGCATTACGGTTTTACGCTGCCAACTGCTGGGCCTGTACGATAGTACACGTGCTGTTGCGAAACATATGTGTTGTGCGCTGTATGATGTAAATGTACTAGAGGTAGGCTTTGTTCGTTTTTGTGGTATTCGAGTTTGGTTGGCTTAATCAGTGCATTATCGCGGACATTTGGGGTATGCATTTCTTGTGGTCGTGGTGTGTGGCCGAATTGTGGTGTGTGTATGCGGGATTGTGTCTCCGGTTGACGTGGAACCCATACGTATGTTCCGACGACGCTGTTGGTAGTTATTGTTGTGTGTGGATTACGGTATTCTCGGGTTGACCACTTGCAACGCGTCAACCAACGAATGTACAACGTCAGGTGCGATGTGCGGTTGTAATCGAGCTGGGTGTGTTCGTGTGGTTGTAGAGGGTTGTTGTGTAGTGGTGGTGTTGGGTTTTGTGGTATGTGTTACGCCGTTTGTTTCGATTGTGCTCGAGTGGATATGCAGTTGGCGTTCCGTTAACCAGCCAATGGTCGTGTTACACCTGGTGCCTCCAAGTACATGTCTTATCGGTGTTGGGTTGCGGTTCCCGAGTTCAGAACTCGGTTTGCCGTTTCTAGTTTGGCGGGCGACTTTCTCATAAGAAGGGGAGCCATCTCCTTGTTGAACATCAGTTCCGCATTTCTTCTCCCAGATTGTCACGGCAGCATACGTGTACCCTCCGTTACAGGATGGCTAGTGTCAAAGCTCTTGTCGAGGCGATGAAGGCTGGACCCGATGATGTGTTTTGGTTTGTGGAGATGCATTTCCTTCCTTCGCGTCTGCCGAAGTGGTCTCTTCAGGAGTATCCACGTATCCTCATATGCGGGGAGCGCGTCATAACTGTTGGCATCCTATTCAACGCGGCTGGCAACTGCACGGCGCTGCCTCTCGTCGTTCTACGCCCTGATGAGCGCCCCGACAGCAGCAGGATAAACCCTGGTGAACTCGAGGTGGTCGTGCGCTACATGAAGAGCGGAAGATTGACCCCCGAGGTATGGGATGGAGGTTGCAGATGCATTTGTATTGTGGGATCATGCTGGCGCATGTGTGGGTTTACGTCTGTGCCGCGGTTCAATCCAGTTTCGTACGTCGTGGTTTTGTTTGTTGGCAGATATTCATAGAGTACATGGACGAGATAAACAACGATCATTTCAGCAAGGACCGGAGAGTGGTCATCCTCGTGTGCAACGAGGGGCATCGCATCACGGAGCCAGTGTCACCGCCGACCGTGGAGCACGGTTTTCATGTGGAGCACCTACTGTGTATGCGGATTGTTAACGTCGTTGGCGCCGTGCCCGCGATGTGCATGCCTCATTTGAACGGCGTCGTTGATGCGTTCAAAGTGCAGTACCGTGTTTTCCTCATGCGTAGGGCTTTGCGCTCGAGTGAGTGTCAGCACAGGTATTCGGCGCCGCTTGCGGTTGTGGATAATTACGATATGCTGCGATGGATCGGAGAGGCGTGGGCGCAAGTTTCAAGCGCTACCATGCAGCGTAGCTGGTGGCGTGCTGGCTGTGTCCCGGTCTCGTGGATGTCCAGTTTGGGAGACCAGCACGGCACGTTTGGGGCTGGGATGTACGAGCCGTTGGTGTCGACCACAGTTGATTTGCAGATGTTGATCGAGCAGTTTAAGATTGAGCTCGGTACTTATATGAGCGCCGTTGAGTATGTGGATTGCGACGAGACACTCTTGGAGGAAGCGGGTATCGAGTTTGAGCCGGTTTCCAGTGGTTCTAGTTGCGGCGGAGGGGAATTGTGCATCCCCGAAGGACCACTGATGCGGGACCCACGTAGCAGGAGGCGCGTGATTCGTTCTGTGACTCAGGCGTACACACGCCATGCCGATGCGCTCGGCATCCCCCCTGCATCTGTGCCTGCTGAAGTTGGCGCGCTGAACCAGGAGGTTATTAGCCGTCTGCGCAGGACTCCGGTGAAGCGTTCCCGCACAGCCGTGACGCCTGACGAAGGGTCGTCGTTGGCGTGAGGTGCTGTGTCCATGTTGTTGACAGGTGGGGGCCGTGTTGATGTCTCTGATGGAGGTGATGTTGCAGGACTTTAAGCCTAGTGGTGGGCCTGCTGATCCCCTGGTGTTTGTTGTATAGACGTTGTGGTTTGGGTTTTCAAGTGTGCGAGTTTTAGTGCATGGTGGGTTTTTTTGGTTGGTTGTGGGTGTGCTGTTTACTTGTATTATGTGGTTTCTGGAGATTTTAGTGGACTGTGTGTTGGTTGCAGTCGGTGGCATTTATGTATGCAGTTTGTGGAAATGGCCACGAGACGCTTTGCGCAGTGTAGTGTGTCGGTTCTCTTTTAACCTAAGATGTATGGCGTTTTCGGGTATGCGATGGATATTAGGTGAGGTGTGCGACGCAATGTCGAGTACGCGATTCGGATGTAGTGCCGGGGCGCATGCGTTTTTTGTGAACATGTGGGCGCGGCGCGTCCGTGGCCGGTATGACTGCCGTTGCAACATTTCCGTGACATTTGGTCACTGTTATGCGGTTTGTCAACTAGTATGCAGAAAGTCACTTTTCCAGGCAGTTGTTTTTTGGACACTCGTCGCAAGAAACCCGCAACTTGGTTGCAGAAAAACCTTCGGACACTCAAAAACGCAGATTCCCTTTTCCGCGATGTAAGCCCGCAGCAGCGACCTGCACCAAGTCGACTCTCTCTCCATACGCCAAATCTGTCAAGCTCACAGCTGACGGGTAGGTTAACTTTGTTAAATCAGTACTCGTTTTACCCAGCGGCGGTTGGCACGGGCGCAACTTGATCGCATGAATATTTCAAAATCGCAGATCATCACCTTCCGCTTGGTTTAGGGTTTCGGGTTTAGGCTCCCGTTCGTACCTCGTAATCGGTTTTATCCTGCGTTTGGGTCCATAGAAATGGAACCATCTACTTTTGAGGCGCCTAGGAATTCCCGTGCCTTTTTTTTCCCATGCCTCCCGCCAGGTTGTTTCTCCTGCACTGGAACATCACCGCAAAGAAAGACGGAATCATCGCTGCACTCGAGGCGAAGCACGGCAGCGGCGCCGAGACAGGCTGGATGTCCATTGGCTGGACGAAGAAAGCCGGCCTCATGGCTCTCGCCGACGCGGTGGTTGGGAACCTGAACGCCCCGAACACCATTGTGGCCTACACTATGAAGGGCAAGACCCTGGCCTTCAATATGATCAAGAAGTCAACCGCTGCAGCATTGAAGCTCTCTGCAAAATCGGTGGAAACCACTGCTGATGGTGGCAAGATTGTGAAGTGAGTTTCATCTGCTCCCGCCGCGGGACCGTGTGCGTTGCACGAGGCGTTCTTACCTCAAAGTTATTAACGTGCCATGATGCGTTACCTTTCATTTCAGGTTCACTCGCTCAGGCAAGGGTGTTCTGAGTCCTGTCAGTTACACGGGTAACAACAACATGATCTGGGCCTACTCCAACTCCAAGGCTTTCAACATGCACACCAATCGGTAAATTCTCACACCCGTCAATTTCCTAGTACTGAACGATTCTAGTATTTTGCAACTTCCTCACTCCGGTTACATGGTTTTCTTAACCTTTGTGTGTTTCTTGTTGTCCTCTTTTATCATTGCCTGGCTTCTTGCTCTTCACCAGGGGTAGCATTGTCATCAACCTCGGATGCACGCCTGTGTGATGGCGTCTCATCTCTGAGGAGGGAATAGTTTGTAGCAGAGAGACAATGTTAGGTGTAGCGCATCAAGAATCAGCACCAAGGGTGTGACACAGATGCCGTTGAAGTCTTAGGCTTTGCCTGGGTGTGGCCCTTGTTGCTGATTGTTGATGCAACTCTATTGAGCAAAATATACACATACACACTGTGCACATACCTGCGTGCACATACCATTACCAAGTACCCATCACCACCACCACCAACTATACCATCACCACCATCACCAACCATTATCCATGGCAGTGCTTGTATGGAAGCACTGTTGACGCCTGTTACCCTGCACCATAGAGCACAGGGGGCTCTAATACTGGTAGCATGGCGAAGCATGTGTGAGCACCAAGAGCAGGCCCTGCACCACGGTCCACGGCACGTTGTGCCACGGTCCACGAACCACGTTGTGCATGTTGTGACACAGCTCCACCATTTCACAGCACTGAACACCATCTCACAGCACCGTACTGCACATCCCAAATCACAGCAGCTGCCCCTTGAGGATCTTCGCCGCCCGCTCAATTGCCCGTGCCGCCCGGAAAATCTCATGCTGCACCGCACTCCACTCCTCCCCACCCTCACTACTGCTTCTCCCCTTCACAGCACCACCCGCCCCAACCTCGAGATTTCCCTTAGAGGCGCTGCTCTTGATGAAGTCAGCAATGGCATCACGGATGGCCGGGAATGCTGGCGTGGCATAGACGTTGTCCTTCTCAGGGCTGTACACCTGCCAGGAGGGTGCTCGGAAAGGAAAGGAGATTCAAGATGAGTCTTGATGACGGTCTTCAAGGAGCACACCTTGGTTTACACCTTGATTGAACTTGGACCCGGCAGCATCAACTGGTAGTTCTCTCTCTAGACCATAAACACACCGTGTCGCTGTCATTCTCCTCAGGCCCGTGCGCCTGGATGGTGTGCGCGCGCACACACACACACACACACTTCACACCTGTATTCCACACACATGCCACCATAAGCATACCCTCGCCCAAATCATCTACCGTACCTCGCAGTTCCATCATCGGGCCACTAGATTAATCAGATTACGTTCGGGCCGTTTCCACAAGAGGTGCTTGACGTGCTTCAAAGCTCACCCAGCCTCCCACTCTCTACCTAACACCGTGACTCTTCCCTCCAACCCACCAGATACCTGCCTGAATCAACTGTAGTGCGATCCAATACCGTGGTGCGATCCAATACCGTGGTGCGATCCAAAACCGTGGTGCGATTCAAAACCGTGGTGCGATCCAATACCGTGGTGCGATCCAATACCGTGGTGCAATCCAATACCGTGGTGCGATCCAATACCGTGGTGCGATCCAATACCGTGGTGCGATCCAATACCGTGGTGCGATCCAAAACCGTGGTGCGATCCCATACCGTGGTGCGATCCAAAACCGTGGTGCGATCCAATACCGTGGTGCGATCCAATACGGTGGTGCGATCCAATACGGTGGTGCGATCCAATACGGTGGTGCGATCCAATACGGTGATGCGATCCAATACGGTGGTGTGATCCCATACCGTGGTGCGATCCAATACCGTGGTGCGATCCAATACCGTGGTGCGATCCCATGCCGTGGTGCGATCCAAAACCGTGGTGCGATCCAATACCGTGGTGCGATCCAATACGGTGGTGCGATCCAATACGGTGGTGCGATCCAATACGGTGGTGCGATCCAATACGGTGGTGCGATCCAATACTGTGGTGCGATCCAATACCGTGGTGCGATCCAATACCGTGGTGCGATCCAATACCGTGGTGCGATCCAATACGGTGGTGCGATCCAATACGGTGGTGCGATCCAATACTGTGGTGCGATCCAATACCGTGGTGCGATCCAATACCGTGGTGCGATCCAATACCGTGGTGCGATCCAATACCGTTGTGCGATCCAATACCATGGTGCGATCCAATACCATGGTGCGATCCAATACCATGGTGCGATCCAATACCATGGTGCGATCCAATACCATGGTGCGATCCAATACCATGGTGCGATCCAATACCGTGGTGCGATCCAATACCGTGGTGCGATCCAATACGGTGGTGCGATCCAATACTGTGGTGCGATCCAATACCGTGGTGCGATCCAATACCGTGGTGCGATCCAATACCGTTGTGCGATCCAATACCATGGTGCGATCCAATACCATGGTGCGATCCAATACCATGGTGCGATCCAATACCATGGTGCGATCCAATACCATGGTGCGATCCAATACCATGGTGCGATCCAATACAGTGCCCCGACCAGGAACCCCCTCTTCGCCAGAAACAGACGCCCACTCAACCCTTTCAGCTGCTTCGTACCACAACACACCCACCGACACGCACCCACCCCTTCACTGCCTCACACCGTGTGTCTTCCCTCCCAAGCACCTGGTGTTTGAACCACGTGTAGTACGGTCCGTTGTGGACCTTACCACACTCCACATGCATGTCACACCACTAACCCGCCTCACAGTACCATCATTCTTCCACCCACCAGCTGCTTGAACCACGTGCAGTGAGGCCCGATGCCATGCCCGTGTAGGAACGCCCACTCAACAGACACCCATTCAACCCCTCCAAATCCCTTGCCCCACATAGAGTCGCAAACCCATCGACACTCAGCCACCCCTACAGAATGTTATACCACACGACCCTCCCACCCACCAGGTGCTTGAACCACGTGTATTGAGGCCCGATGCCATGCCCGTCCAGGAACCCCCGCTCCGCCAGAAAGAGGCGCTCGTTCACCCCGTCAAAGGACGCCGGGCAGTTGCCACCTTTCCCAGATGCGCCCTCCATAGGACACGTTCCCCCCCTGCACTGGCAATCAGTGCTGCTCGTTTCGATTGCCTGTGAGGATTGAAAAAGGGAAGCGGGGAAGAGGGGGGAGGATGGGAGGAGTGTGTGTGAGATGCGGCTAGCGGAGGATGTAGCTTTCGAATCAAAGCGTAATTCTAATCTGACGCAGGCGTGGACGCCAGGATGCGCCCTCTTGATTCTGCATGTGGATGCAGTGCCCTTCCAGGATGCGCCCTCCCCCACGTGCACCTGCATGCACTGCTGCTAGACGCTGTGCTGCTCTCTGGCAGACGGAAGGAAGGGGGGTGAGGTGAGGGAGGGGAGGGATTCGAGGGGTGTGGGTGGGGTTGGTGAAGGTTGTGCTTGGTTGGGAGGGGTGTGAGGTGGAAGGAAAGGGTGAAGAAAAGAAGAGGGCTGGCAGGAAAGAAGTGAGGGAAGTGCGAGATGCAAGGTGGGAGGGACGACACGAGGCGACAATCGAGGGGTTTGGTAAGACGTGCAGAGCAGATTCAATGCCCCAAGCACCGCTGTGCATCCCACCGCTGTGCATCCCACCGCTGTGCATCCCACCGCTGTGCATCCCACCGCTGTGCATCCCACCGCTGTGCATCCCACCGCTGTGCATCCCACCGCTGTGCATCCCACCGCTGTGCATCCCACCGCTGTGCATCCCACCGCTGTGCACCCCCACCGCTGTGCATCCCACCGCTGTGCATCCCACCGCTGTGCATCCCACCGCTGTGCATCCCACCGCTGTGCACCCCCACCGCTGTGCATCCCACCGCTGTGCATCCCACCGCTGTGCATCCCACCGCTGTGCATCCCACCGCTGTGCATCCCACCGCTGTGCATCCCACCGCTGTGCATCCCACCGCTGTGCATCCCACCGCTGTGCATCCCACCGCTGTGCACCCCCACCGCTGTGCATCCCACCGCTGTGCATCCCACCGCTGTGCATCCCACCGCTGTGCATCCCACCGCTGTGCATCCCACCGCTGTGCATCCCACCGCTGTGCATCCCACCGCTGTGCATCCCACCGCTGTGCATCCCACCGCTGTGCACCCCCACCGCTGTGCATCCCACCGCTGTGCATCCCACCGCTGTGCATCCCACCGCTGTGCATCCCACCGCTGTGCACCCCCACCGCTGTGCATCCCACCGCTGTGCATCCCACCGCTGTGCATCCCACCGCTGTGCATCCCACCGCTGTGCATCCCACCGCTGTGCATCCCACCGCTGTGCATCCCACCGCTGGTGCATCCCACCGCTGTGCATCCCACCGCTGTGCACCCCCACCGCTGTGCATCCCACCGCTGTGCATCCCACCGCTGTGCATCCCACCGCTGTGCATCCCACCGCTGTGCATCCCACCGCTGTGCATCCCACCGCTGTGCACCCCCACCGCTGTGCACCCCACCGCTGTGCACCCCACCGCTGTGCACCCCACCGCTGTGCACCCCACCGCTGTGCTCCCCACCGCTGTGCACCACACCTGAACATGGAATACCAGTTTCCACACCTTGATTTCCGCTTCAATACTTTGAGCAGCAGCCAGGAGGTGAGAGACAGACGCAAAGAGCAGCACCACGGAGAGAGATGACGGGGCGCCTTGTTCTGCCACGTCAGCCTGCAGCCTAGCCACGTCATGCTCCAGGTGGACAGCATAGGCGGTGTAGTTGAAGGACAGGCGGTGGTTGCCTGCCAGCCTGGCAGCCACGCCAGCCATCATCTTGGCGATTGCCACGTGGCGCTTGAAGAGTGGATCGGCAAAGGTGGCCATCCAATGGTAGTTGTCATACACACTGTGGAACATGGGGAAGGCTGGTCACACATGGGTAAAAGAGTAGAATGGGTAGGGGAGAGTGATAGAGGCGACGCAATGCTACTCAAATGAAAGGCGGCCATCCAATAGTAGTTGTCGTACACACTGTGGAACATGGGGAAGGCTGGTGGAGCGAGAGAGGGGAAAGGAAGAGGGGGGAGAGTGGGGGAGGGAGAGGAGATTCGACATAGAAACAATCTAATGATAGGCATCATACACGCTGTGATCCATACAGGAGCCGTCTGTGATACATATAGGTTTGCCTAAGAAACCACCTGCTCATAACCACACACCATCCCACCTCTTCTTTTCTCACTACTCCTTTCAAACCTCGCACCACCACCCCCTTCTAAACTCACATCCTCGAAAGTAGGTGTCTGCTGCGGCAATCCCAAGGTGCTGCAGGAATGGTGAAAAGTCGCTGCCTCCGCCTCCCAGCCGCCCCAACTGCAGCATGTTCTAGGAGCGCATGTGGGGGATAGACAAGTCTGAAGTGACACATGAGTCGGGTTGGAGTTGCAGAAAGGGATGGTCAGCTGAGCTTTGAGACGAGTCACGCATGCAGTGGGGATGTGAGTGAGAGCATGTGTGCTGCAGAAACAGGTGCTTTCAAGATGCTGCAGAGAGGTTAGCACGTGTACACCGGAACTAGAGTCTAAATTGAGGCGCCTAAAAAACAAAATGCTACAGGGAGGAACACCAGAACTAGAGTTCTCACCTAAGATGGATTTGATGCTCCAGCAGGGTTGGAGCAACCTAAAATGTAGTGTTTTGACACTGGACGCTGTCTGCATCTTTATATAATCGATTTAACTATTTCCGGCTTAAAAAAGCCTAGTTTCCTGATTTTGCGCCAAAAACGCGATTCCAGAATTCTACTCGACAGCCAACAACTCAAAAACGCCAACCCGCAAAATCCAACCCCCCCCACCTATCTGCACCGCACTACAACTAGAAAACCCAGCCCAATGTCACACCCTTCAAGCCCTTTCTCTGTTCTGAAGACTTCAATTTAGGGTTTGAATCTAGTCGACCAGCAACTTAGTCCCTTCACTAAAGAGGTGCGCTCATCTTACCTTTGTGCTTCACCGAATAACCCTCGCAAGATGCACCACTCACCATGCATCAACAACAACTTGCTTCAGGATTTGACGTGTTGTGCTCAGCCGCCCAACCCTCCAATAACGACTCGCCAGCTGGACCGTTGGGATTGGCCACCTGGGGTGGCGTACAACGGATGAAGGGAGGGAGAGAGTGGTGAGAGGAAGAGCGGGAGAAAAGAATGGAGAGAGGGACGAATGGGGAATTGGGGAATAAAAGTGAAAAAGAAGATTGAGGGGAGGGAAGCCAAGGAAATCGGGAAGAGGGAGAGTGGGGAAAGAGAATGGGGAGAGGGGAAGACCACTACGATGTAGGGTCGCTTTTGAGAATTCTCAACAGCGACAGCATGAAGTGGGGCGGGGAAGGGGTGCACGAGGAGAACAGGTAAGAAAGAACAGGTTGGAGAACAGCATGAAAGCACCGAGCTGACTCAACATCCCCAACTGTTGTTTGACCATGCTCCATCCACATGGCTCCATGCATCACCGCACCTAGCTACTGACGTCATCATGGGTATCTAGCTGCCGACGGGTCAGCTTGCTTGGCTGCTGACGTCACGGATGAGGTCATCAAGTTGCGGGGTGGCGGAGGCATGGAAGCCCCCTCCCCCCACGGCCGTGTCCACGTTGATGTAAGCCACTGCTGATGTCGCTAGCAGTGCTGCATTGTCCTCCGCCCACTCCGTTGACCCCAGCTGCAAGGGGGGTGGGCATGGGTGGAAAGGGTGGGGGGAAAGCAGTGCACCTTGCATGGAATGGAAGCCCCCTCCCCCCACGGCCGTGTCCACGTTGATGTACGCCACTGCTGCTATTGCTCCACAAGGTGCCGCACGTCCGGCTGACCGTCCTAGGAGGGATGTGCGCCCTCCTAACCGGCTGACCTATCCGATCTTTGGCAAGCCAAAGGTGGTACGAGCTGGGAGTGTGGCTGAGCAGTGTGATGAGAATGAAATAGCACACTGCTACTGGGCAGCCGTCCCTGAGCCCAAGACGTTAGCTGAGGCATTGAGCGGGCCCGATGCTGAGAAGTGGAAGCAGACTGTGAAGGAGGAGTATGACTCTCTGCTGGAGAATGAGACTTGGGAGCTGTGTGAGCTGCCTCCTGGGAAGAAGGCAATCTCTTCGAAACTGATCTTCAGTCATAAGTATGGACCAGATGGGGCGCTAACCTGCTACAAGTCAAGGCTTGTGGCAAAGGGGTTTCAGCAGACAAAAGGGAAGGACTTCGATGAGCTCTATGCTCCTGTTGGGAAAGGGACAACACTGAGGGTGATGTTGTCAATGGCTGCAAATCGTCGATGGAGGATCAAGCAGATGGATATCATAAATGCCTTCTTCAACCGGATCATTCTAGAGGAGCTGTACATGTTACAGCCTGAGGGGCTGGATGATGGGAGCGGCAGAGTGTGCCGGCTGAAGAAGGCCATCTAGGGCTTGAAGCAGGCTCCTCGCGCATGGTACCACAAGCTAGAGGAGACACTGCTGGCTGGGGGGTTCAAGAAGAATGAGTGCGGCCACATCCTATTCCTGCTGCAAGAGAAGGAGCAGCCTCTCATGCTCGTGGTGTATGTGGACGACATCCTGCTCTTCTCCGAGTCATCTGCAATGATTGAGCGTGTGGAGGAGATGCTGGAGATGCAGTTTAAGTGCTCCAAGATGGGAGATGTGAAGTACTACCTGGAGATGCTTGTGGAGAGGGACCTTGACAAGGGAATGTTGAGGTTGCACCAGAGGAAGTACTGTGAAGGGCTGGCCGAGAAGTATGGGCTGTAAGATGGAGGGAAGCCAGCCACCCCACTGCCTTCAGGGTTCACAGTGGAGCCCTGTGTTGATGAGGAGGTGGTGGGAGAGAGTGACAGGAATTTGTGAGCTCCTCAGGCTGTAACATGTACAGCTCCTTAGGTGAGATGTTGCATGCGTGGTGTGAGCGTGTGCAAGAATTTGTGTTCGGTGTGGTTTGGATTCTCGGCGTATGTGTGAAGTTTATTTCTCTTGAGCAGATATCTGAAGTGACTCCTCTGCTCAAGAGCTTTCCGACGAACCAAGAATTGTCGCGATCGGAGCAAGAACGACGAAGTTATAATCGTTCGAAGTTTTGATTGGGATGCGACGACTTTAGAAGTTCGTTGAGTGACTCAATATGGGGTATAGACTTTTGGGGGTTGGGAAATTCGTCCCCATCACTGTAGATGCTGCCAAGTGGTTGGGAGAAACCAAATTGGGTTGGCAAGTGTGGCCACCTAGGGTGAGGTAGATTGTGGAGGTTGGGAAAGTGACAAAGATCAAAGTTGGGGTTGCCTAGAGAGAGGGGAATTGTGTGGCATGGGGTTTCCTTGGTTTGGGACTCCCTTGGGACCTTCTCTCTCGTCCTCCTCATCCCCTCCTACCTGGTTCATTGCTACTCTAACTTTCTTTGTGAGACTCTTGTGATTGAGTTAAGATTCTATGACAGCATACCCCCCCTGTGCGCCGAAATTGATAAGTCGAGATATACTTCACTTCTTGATACGATTCAACTTGGGAACTGTAGCTACGCTCTAGAGCTACAACATATCCAAATGTGGTGAAGTTTTAACAGTGCGTTTTTCGTCGACGGCATCTCTTGTGAGCGCGACTTTTCTGTCCATAATTCAAAGCCAACGATTTTGAGAAATTTAGGCACCTAATCTTCGTAGACTCTGTCCTTAGTCTCTAACAAGTGGTATCAGAGCTGATTAAGGACTTTGTGGAGAGTCTACTGCAATGTGAAGACCCTCCTAGACCCTCCATGGCCTGTGGACGTGCCTAAGTGGAGTTCTGGAGGTTGGTTGTGACTTCCGCTAAGGGGAAACTCTGCCGAAATTTCGTTGGCGCCGACACTTGTGAAAATATTGTGGGCCTTCAGTATGGACAGCAAAGGGGGGAGCTGAAATCTGTGATTGGGAGCAGAGAAGATGAGTCAAGGGAGTAGAGAAGCAGCTGAAAAGAGGAGTGAGCCACCACCATCCAAGATTGAGGCGTTGGATGGCTCCAACTACAAGGAATGGAGCGGGCGGATGAGAAGAGTCTTCAAGCGCTACAAGCTGCTGAAACTTGCGATGGGAGAAGAGAAGATGCCCGAGGAAAGAGATGCTTGAAATCGGTGGATTGAGCGGAGCGCGGTGTTGTTCGACCTCATCTTGCAATCGGTCAACAACGACATGTTCCAGCACATCAAGGACTCGGTTAAGTTGGACGACTCCGGTCCAAAGGCGTGGAAGCTACTGCGCGACGTGATTTAGCCTAACACGCTGCCCATAGTGATCATGCTCGAGAAGGAGCTGGCGGCCCTCTCCATGCGATCGGGAGATGATGTGAAGCCGGTCCTTGACAAGATCAAGGACACATATGCGAGGATGGCAGCGGCGGGCAGCGACGTGTCGCAGATGCAGCAGTGCACCAAGATCATCTTGGTGCTCGACAACTCGTGGGATAACCTCATCCCCACCCTCAACGTTCAGCAGGACAAATGGACGCCTGAGTGGCTACGGCAGCAGATCCTGCAGGAGGACTTCCGCATGCGCCACACGGGAGGTGGTGCTGCCAACAAAACTGCTGAGGGGTATGGAGCTGCAGGAGGCAGCAGAGGAAAAAGGGGAGGGAGAGACCGAGGCCGTGGGAGAGGCTTTGGCAGAGGGAGAGGCCGAGGTGGCTACAACGAAGGGCATGGGAGCTCTGGTGGTAGGGGAAGCACCCGAATGGAGGGTGCATGTTGGTACTGCAAGAAGGCTGGACACCCATGGTTCAAGTGTTTCAGCCAGCCTGAGGGATGGGCGCCTCCAGGCATGAAGCCGCCAAGTGGTGAACGTGCACGAGGTGGCGCTATGTAAGGTTCAGGTGCACAAGGTGATGGTGCACAAGGTAAAGCCGACCCTGGGATGTTCCTCATGGTTGAGGATGTGAAAAGGACTGAGGGTGATGTGGGTTCTGTTGGGAAGGTTGTGATGCACCTCCTCACTCACTGGGTGATCGATTCAGGTTGCACAAGTCACATGACCCCACGGGCAGATTTGCTTGACGAGGTAAAGCCCCCTGGGAAGATCAAGTTTGTGGCTGCCGCTTCAGGTGCTTTGTTCCTTGTGATTGGTGTTGGGAATGTCAAGGTAATGGGAGCCAATGGGGGGCTTGTGGGGCTGGGGAATGTGCTGTTGGTTGAAGGTTTGTCCGCTAACCTTCTTTTTGTGCGCCGGCTGCAGAAGAGCAAGGCCAAAGTGACTTTCGGCCCAACCAGCTGCCGTGCAAAGCTTGGGAAGCACAGTGCAACGGAAACAGAATGGATGGAAGCATGATACCTACCTCGAGCAGACACGAGGTGCCACTGTTGGGGTCCACAGCGCCAAAAACCCACGCGTCGCGATGGTTGCCCAAAATGACGTACCTGCAAGCAGCGGCGGCGGCGGTGGTAGGGTGGGGGTAGTGGCATGGTGGGGGTGGTGATGGTATATATTGACCTGAGGGCAGATTGCACCATGATGATGCTGACGGAGTAACTACTTTATTGCACATGAAATTTTTAGATAACTCCGGATGGCTATGCCAATGGTAGCAACGGCTCCAGCGAGAGGCATGGTGGCTTCGCTTCAATGAAGGTGGGTGGCAAATCAGACACCCAGCATTCCACACTCCCCTCTGCCCTAACCTCGCTGGGTGGCTGGCAGGTTTTCAAGGCGCCTAAACTAAACAACGGTCTCGCCACAGACAAGATCAGACACCCCCGATTCTGCATCACCATTGCCCTGAGTAGTGGCGCACCTGTCCGGCTGGTGGGTGCCTGGCAGCACACAGATGACGTTGCGGATGGTGGTCACAGTGCCTTTCATCTGCGATCAGATCAGAGCAGCGGGGCAGGTAGAAGCATGCAAGTGAGTTCACTCAAATGCCATCTCTGGCCGTGTTCACAGTGGCGTGGCGTGGCGTGGCGTTCATCTTGCAGTGATGCTCACACACAGCACGGGATGAGCAGGGCGGGCATGCAGAGGCATGCGCGTGTGACAGATGAGAGTGGAGAGGAGGGATGACTGACACCGATCAAGGTGCCTGACCCATGCTGCATAACGCATGGTGGATGCATGAACCATGTACGTGCATGGTGGATGCATGTACCATGTATGTGCATGGTGGATGCATGTACCATGTACGTGCATGGTGGATGTATGTACCATGTACGTGCATGGTGGATGCATGTACCATGTACGTGCATGGTGGATGCATGTGCCATGTACGTGCATGGTGGATGCATGTCCCATGTACGTGCATGGCGGATGCATGTACCATGTACGTGCATGGCGGATGCATGTACCATGTACGTGCATGGCGGATGCATGTACCATGAACGTGCATGGCGGATGCATGTACCATGAACGTGCATGGCGGATGCATGTACCATGTACGTGCATGGCGGATGCATGTACCATGTACGTGCATGGCGGATGCATGTACCATGTACGTGCATGGCGGATGCATGTACCATGTACGTGCATGGCGGATGCATGTACCATGTATGTGCATGGTGGATGCATGTACCACGTACGTGCATGGTGGATGCATGTACCATGATTGTGCATGGTGGATGCATGTACCATGTATGTTCATGGTGGATGCATGTACCATGAATGTGCATGGTGGATGCATTTACCATGTATGTGCATGGTGGATGCATGTACCATGTATGTGCATGGTGGATGCATGTACCATGTACGTGCATGGTGGATGCATGTACCAAGTATGTGCATGGTGGATGCATGTACCACGTACGTGCATGGTGGATGCATGTACCATGAATGTGCATGGTGGATGCATGTACCATGTATGTGCATGGCGGATGCATGTACCATGTATGTGCATGGTGGATGCATGTACCAAGTATGTGCATGAGCACACACGCACACACGCACACCCCCACTTACGCAACCCACCCCCCACCCCCACACATTCTCACCTGCACCTCCATGCCCACAGCGGCGGGTCCCGGGCCGAACACATAGTGCACGCCCAGCACGGCGCCACGCCACTCGTCCGGCACGGCCGTCCCTCCCATGTGCACCATCACTGCCTCCGCCACGCGGTACCCCACCGGCCACCCGCCCCCCCCCCTAAGGCACTCTCACCTGCACCTCCAGGTCAACTGCAGCGGGTCCCGGCCCAAACACATAGTGCACGCCCAGCATGCCGCCCCGCCAGTCCTGCGGCACAACCCGTCCTCCGCCACGCGGTACCCCACCGGCCACCCGCCTACGTTGGCAGATACGCTTTGGGAAGGCTGGCGTACCACGTATATACGCTAGCGTATATACGTGGTACGCTAATACGCTCTGGATTTGCGAAAAAACGCCCGGGCAGCCCGCGGGAAAAAAATTACGAAATTGAAAAAATTCGCGACGACTTTGCGGCTTCGCAAATTGTTACCGCGAACTCGCTCAAGCACCCTACCCACGTTTGAACTTCGAATGTCAAAATCCAAACTTTCCCACCCACTCAACCACACACCACCCCACCCAACCTCTCAAACCCAACCACCCCTTTCAAATGTTCATCACTTCGTGAGCATTTTTAGGTCGACGATATCCATAATGCTTCTTCAACTTACTTCCCGCAGGTCTCGTCTAGCATTCTTCCCGGTTAGTTAGACGTTCCGTAGTCGCGCGCCATGGCGTCGAGCGCAGCTCCTACTAGTTCGACGAGCAATGCAGCTTCTGTTCACAGCTCTACTGCTCGGGAAAAAAAGTTTCACCTGCCCGCCCAGCGTATTTTAGCGTATCAGCAGTACGGCAGCCATTGCGTACCGCGTATATACCCAGCGTATAATACGCTAGCGTATTATACGTGATACGCGTATTTGCCAACGTAGCCACCCGCCCCCCCCCCTAAGGCACTCTCACCTGCACCTCCAGGTCAACTGCAGCGGGTCCCGGCCCAAACACATAGTGCACACCCAGCATGCCGCCACGCCAGTCCTGCGGCACGGCCGTGCCCCCCATGTGCGCCATGACGGCCTCCGCCACGCTGTACCCCACCGGCAGCACCGGGATCCGTGGCAGCCTCTTTGCTGTCTCATTGCTCAGCCTCTCCTCGCCGGGGTGGGACGGCCACCTGGGGGTGGCTGGGTTGCCCTTGCCTGGAGGGAAGAAGGGAAGGAGCGGAGTGGGATGGGATGGGCGCAGCACAGCACAGCATGTGCGTGCATGCATGAGCTGATGCACCAGCCAGACCGTCGGGGCATCACCGCACTGCACCATGGCTGGTTACCAAGTCCCACAGTAGCAGCCTGTGCAGATGGTGCCTGTCCCACAGCACAGCACCAGGGGTGGTTGGCACACATGCGCTGCACCCGTGGCCTACGGGGCATTCACATTGCATTAGTGCCGTGGCATTCCAGTACCTGTGTAGACGGTGCCTCTCTGGGCGCCAGTGGCGGGCAGCCATTGGTTCTGCGGGTACACATAAGCCTCCTCAGTGCCCTCTGGCGCATAGTTCGCTGGATCGGAGTACAGCAGCACTGCTGCCAGGCCGAACCTCTCCGCATTCCGAACCTGACAGACCAGTTTGGTACGGAAGGATGAGCAGTTATGGGTGATGCCAGAGAAGAGAACATCATGGGATGGAGGGACTCGGTTACTAACAGCATTTACGAATATCAAATTGTGCATGCTCACCTTATCCCCTCTGAAATTCTTCCCATAACGAATTAGCGCCACTGTGCCCTTCACCTGCTCCTCCCCAATCGCTGCCACCAGCACCTCAAAGTCCTACATGCGCCCATAGTTCGCATACACCACTGCCGCTCCTTCCGCCTCTCCCGCTCCTTCCCCCTCCGCCTCCGCCTCCCCCTCCCCTTTTCCGCCAACCCTTCCGCGGACCCTCCCGCCGACCCTCCCGCTACTGGAATACGCGTTAAAAGGGTTGGTGGCGGCGCGCGAGGTGCTAAACGGGTCGCCGGGGACGGGCTGTTCACGCAGCGAGAAGCTGCGCGCGACGGGGCGCACGAGGCGCAGCGACTGGCGCAGCGGATAGGAGAGCAGCACGGGGTAGTCCGCGTAGTGCGCTCGCAGGCCGTACGACTGCCGTGGATGCGGGGGGAGGTAAGAGGGGGTCGATAAGAGTTGATAGGATAGGATCTGGAACCCTACGGTGATGCGCGCAAGTGAAACGTGGAGTCGAAATGCAAATCCTATCCATAGTCTCTCGAATCCGCACCTCGAATTTCTCCTTGACGTAGCGGGCAGTTTCAAAGTTTTTGGGGGTGCCCGCGATGTGCGGCTTGGCGGTGAGCTTCCGAAGGTGCAACGCAAGGCTCTCATTGGACACGAGCGAGAAGAGCGTCGGCAGAAACCCGCAGCTCAACCCGTCGTCATCGTCGCGACCGTCGAGCGACGAGCACGCGTCGCGAGATTCATGAGTAATCCCAACCTCAGCAGCAGCGGAACGTACGCTAAGGGCGATCGTGGCCTGAGTGTGGTCTGCGGCAGCAGCGATGAACGATCCATCACGGCGTTACTAAGACGCACGAACCGCGAGGAGTGTTCTGATAGAGAATAGAAGCATGCAAATTGAAGGGTGGGAAGGGGTAAGGACGCGGGCACGCATCGATTTCGGCAATCGATTATACAATCTACAAGATTCGACGTTTACGTCGGAAGGGTGCGTAGGGTTGTGTAAGGAAAATCTCTTTTTCCTTACTTCGTGTCCCTACTCAACGCGTACATCACTGTAGCACCACAGTCAGCACCGTTACCACTCGCAATCCTCGCATCGACAATCCGCCCGCCACCTTCGCACGTCGCACCCCGACCTCACGGCTCGGCGGGTAACCCGCGCTCCGGGCCTCCGCTTCGACACTTTTCCCAACCTCAGTCCCAGGCCCGTCGCGCGGCAACCACAGTGCATTACCGTTACCACTGTAGTCTCGCTATATTCTTCGCTCATGCCTTCGCTCATTGTACTCTTGCTTCGATAGTGCAATTCTCGTTCGTTCACTCAATTGCACTCGTAACACTTGGTATTCAGAGCCTACGACCTCTTCTCTGTGAAGAAATGAGGAATGAATTGACTAAGGGAAAGTTGGGTACAAAAGCAAACCCTAGAAAACTGTACCCCATATGTGCTACCCCACTATAGCCTACAGTAGCTATGTCATATAAATCTGACACACCCCCATAGGCAAAGTGGGGAAGAACAAGGGGTCACAAGACCAGTCAAGCAAAGCAAAGCAAGCTCAGGGTGGATCACAAAGTCACCACACATTCCGAGCACAAGTTCAAGGCCACAAGGCCAGTTCACATGCAGGATTACATATATATATAAGGCTAGACAAGCAAGAGCAGGTGTATATATATATGCAACAGTACAAACAAGGTCAAGGGGTGAGCAAGTGAGGCAAGGTAGGCACAAGACCCAGCTGAGTACAGAAGCGCTGATGATCACAAGGCGCAAGTGCCTTTGTGAAGATATCAGCAGTGTTGGCCTCAGAGGCCACGTACACAAGCCGCAGCTGACCACGCTGCTGTAGCTCACGAGCAAGGAAGTAGCGGAGAGCAATGTGCTTCGTTCTGTGCTCCAGTCTCTGCTCTCGACACAAGGCCAGCATGGCCTTGTTGTCTACGTACAGCACTGGAGGAGAACGAGGCGGCTCTCCGAGGTCAGTCAGCAGGTAGGTGAGCCAGCGAAGCTCCTGTGCAGCCATGGCCCCGGCGTAGATCTCAGCCTCACAACTGGAGCCGAGAACAGAAGACGAGCGGGTAGCCCGCCACGAAACAGAGCCGGAACCAAGGCTGAAGGTGTAACCCTGTGACGACCGCTGCGTAGCCTGGTCGTCAGCCCAAGAAGCGTCTGCATGACCTGTGAGGACCACTGGACTCTGCCCTCCAAGCACAAGCCCCATGCCCGACGTACTGCACAAGTAGCGCAACACCCTCTTCGCTGCAGCCATGTGCTCCGGTCTGTGTCTCCCAGGAGCAACATAGCGTGCAAGAATGCTAAGAGGGTATGCAAGGTCAGGTCGTGTGCAGGTCATCAGGTACATGAGGCAGCCAATAAGCTCTGGGTACGGGCCACTCGACTCTACGGACTCATCCGAAGGCAGAGCTGAGAGCGAGTGGCGAGTAGGCAGAGGAGTGGCCTGAGGCGAGGAGTACGTGAAGCCGAAGCGCTGAAGGACCTGCTGCACCATGTGTGACTGAGTCAGGGTAATGGTGCGGCGTGCTCTGTCCCGGGTGATCTGCAAGCCAAGGTAGCTGCGCAGTTCACCCAGGTCTGTGCACGTGTGTCTCTTCTGCAGCTCGGACTTCACGTGGGCGAGTCCAGCAGTGTCAGCTGTGGCGAAGACCAAGTCGTCGACGTACACGAGGATGTAGAACGGCGGCAAAGAAGTGTCGGTGCGCAGAAACAGCGACGGGTCGACAGTAGAGGGAGCAAACCCAAGAGCCGCAAGTGTAGTCCTCAGTGTGTCGTGCCACTCACGCGGTGCCTGGCGGAGACCGTAGACTGGCCGCCGGAGGCTCCACTGGGTGCCAGGAGGAAAAGACCCAGTGAAGCCAGGTGGGCGACGCAGCCAGATCTCCTAGTGCAGGCTGCCCTGCAAGAAAGCAGTGCTGAAGTCAAGAGAGTGCAGCTCGTAGTTGCGATGAGCAGCTATGTGCAGCAGTACCCGAAGAGTGGTCATCTTCGGGGTGGGAGAGAAGGTCTGAAAGTAGTCAACTCCCTGCCGCTGACTGAAGCCACGAGCCACGTAACGCGCCTTGAAGACAGGCGGAGAACCCGGCGGCCGCTTCACCCTGAAAATCCACATGCCACTGACGATGTTCGCCCCAGGCGGGGGAACCTCGTCAACGTAGGTGCCTGTGGACTTCCAGGAAGCCATCTCTGCGTCCATAGCTGCCTGCCACTGAGAGGAGTAGGGACCCTCTATCGCCTCCGCGTAAGAGCGCGGAGTCGGGATGTCAAGTGCATCCGGGTCTCCCTCAGGGGTAAGCAGTACGGACACGAGATGAGGTGAAGCAGCAGCCAAACACTGGAACTCCTCCTGCCTGTCCTCAAGGACGTCCGTGCCAAGGGCACACTCACCCCCGACGGACGGAGGACAGACAGACTCAGACTCAGCAACAAGACTAGCAGCGTAGTCTAGACGACAGCGAGCAGCAAAGTCGACGAGCTCAGTAACTAGGGCAGACGCAGCAGTGGACTCAAAGGAAGGGTCAGTGACAACAGTAGCAAGGAGACGCGTGACAGTAGGACTGGCAGCACGAAGAGAGTCCGACTCCGGGTCAGGAAGAGCAGGAAGAGAGGACTCAGGAGGAGAAGGCAAAGGGGCACGCAGAGGAGCAGTGGACGGACGCTGAGACATCCGGTGCGTGCCAGGGACAGGAGGAGGACGCTGACGCGAACCATGACCACTAGTGCGAGCAGCACGGACAGGCGACGCAGGGCGAGACGCAGGCTCACGACGCTCAGCAAGACCTCCAGTAGGACCAGTGTAGGGAGAAGGAGCGGGCAGTGGGGAGGCCGGCTGTAACTGTAACTGTGACGGGACAGGCTGTGGACACTCTAAGGGAGGAGGAGGACCAGTAGAAGGCGGGAGACCAAGAACCTACTGAAGGAGCGGAACGAAGTACGGCCGAGGCCGCGCGGCGACTCCAGACACAGCAGGGACAGCACCAGTACCCCCAGCGGCAGCACCAGCGCCAGCAGCACCTCCAGCTCCAGTACCTCCAGCAGCACCAGTAGCACCCCCAGCAGGACCGCCTCCAGGACCGACAGCAGTAGCCTCAGCGCCAACACCCTCAGCAGCTCCAGCTCCAGTCGTACCCGCAGGCCCAGCAGCTCCAGTACTCCCAGTACGAGCACCTCCGGGACCCGCGGCACCAGCACCCTCAGCAGCCGAAGAACCTCCAGCTCCAGCAGCACGCCTCCAGCGCCGGGCAAACCACTCGCGCAGCTCCTGTGGAGAGAGTGGCTCCCGCCGAGACGAAGCACCCGGAGAACCTCCAGGCTCAGCACCGCCAGACGCCACACGAGCAGGCCCAGCTCCCTCAGGCTCCGCACCCCCAAGCTCAGCACCTCCAGGCGTGGCACCCCCAGGCTCAGCACCCCCAGGCGTAGCACCCCCAGGCTCAGCACCCCCAGGCTCAGCACCCCCAGTAGTAGCACCCCCAGGCTCAGCACCCCCAGGCTCAGGACCCCCAGTAGTAGCACCCTCAGGCTCAGCACCCCCAGGCGTAGCACCCACACGCTCAGCACCCCCAGAGTCAGCACCCCCAGGCTCAGCACCCTCAGCAGCACCAGAGTCACCAGTAACCTCGACAGGCTCGACTGCGTCTACCTGGGACACACCTGAAGGGGTAGGACCCTGAGGGGGGAGGGGGTCTACCGGGGGGGGACCTGGTACAAGGAAGAGCGGTGGCGGGGGGAGGGACGGAGTGCGGTAGGGGAAGAGGCGGTAGTAGGGGACCGACTCGTCAAACGTGACGTCCTGAGAGGACAGAACACGGCGAGAGGTGGGGTGGTAGAACTGCCACCCTGGCGCGTCAGGGGGGAAGCCAAGGAAGACGCAAGGAGCAGCACGAGGGGACAGCTTGTCCGTAGACAAGTCGCGGACAAACGCCCGAGATCCCCAGACACGGAACGCAGACGCATCGCCAACCTTCCCCGTCCACAGCAAGGCTGGGGAGGTCTCCGGCATGGAGACCCTGGGGTGAAGGTTGATCTGATGCGCCGCGTACCGAACCGCAA